CTCAGCACAGCTGTTTCAGCAAGCCAGAGGTGAGTTTTGTGGTGATTTCTGCGTCCAGTGTGAGTTCTCTACGTATTTGTGGGTGGGGCAGGAGAGGAGAGGAAGTGGCTGTTCCTCACCTTGCCCATGCTCGCCCTACTCACGCTCACCCGTCTACCATACACCACTCACCACTGCCCACTCCCTCTGCTGTGTTTTCTGCTGTTTTCCATGTGAATTCATTGCCAGAGCTGTGTATCCGAGTGCCCAAGGCCACTCGAAGCTCGTGGACCAGCATGCCACGTAGATCACGACACCACGTGGATCGCGAGCCACGTGGGTGTGGGCGATGTCACGTGGATTCTACCAGCCACGTGAGTTACCAGATGTCCCAGGCCACATGCTGTGGTCTGCTGCCCGCATCACACTGACGTCACCCACGATGCTGCCCGACTTCATGACGTCACGATGTCTGCCTGACGTCACCTCGAGATGTCTGCTGACGTCACCTCAAGATGTCTGCTGACGTCACCTCAAGATGTCTGCTGACGTCGCCTCGAGATGTCTGCTGACGTCACCTCGAGATGTCTGCTGACGTCAGTGCTGCTGATGTCATCACGCCTGACATCACATGATGTCACATCGAGTGTTTCTAGTAATTATTTTAATACTGTCGAGAAGATTGAGAGAAGATATATGTCGTGTTAATTAATTCCTCTCAGTCAGTGTTCTCACATTTTAGTATATGTCTTAGTGTCAGTTTTATGCACAGAAAAGCATCATTTGCTAGTTTAAGCCATGTTAGTGTACCGCGGGTGTGTAAAGTTTCCGTGTGTCCAGTAAGGTCTGAGCCAGACCTGAGTAGCACCACTGTGTTAAGTCACCCGTGTGACCAGTGTGTTTGACAGCTGATTACTCAGCCCTGAGCATATGAGCCCTCTTGTACAGAAAGCTTTTATGCTCGTCGCTCGTGTTGTTATGCAGAATCGTACCTGCTACAATTCCCATAGAGTTTTGTTTCACTTCACCTCCAGACCGTCAGAGTGCAGTTATATGTAGAGAAACAAGTCTGGGGACGCTTAGACTAACCTCTGCTATAACTCCAACTGTCGAGAGATGATACTCGTCAAGCCGCAGTCAGGTCTGTCGGCAGGCGCTGTGTCAGCCTCGTGTCACAAACTTCAGTGAGCAGCCTGCACAAAGAAGATGTCACTTTGACTGCTAGCTCTCTCACTGCAATCTGGTGTACGATGTTACGACTCCCAGATGTTTCGCCCAGTCGTCTCTGCCACGACTCTCTCCACAACTCGCTTCACGTTCGCCGGCAGTGACAGCCCAGCGACAGTACCAGTCGAGAAGTGTCCTCCTGAGTCGCTTGCCAGAAGTCCTGCCCAGTTGCCGAGTTTTGTCGACGCCTCACTCGAGGGCACCAGCATGTTGTGCCCCAGGTTGAGTGAAACCTGCAGCGACTCTTACGATGTCTGCTTCACCGTTCCAGAGGAGACCGTACCCTGTTATGTCACAGCTCAGCCGCAGCGATGTCTCCTGTGTTGCAGTATCTGTCCAGACGCAGGAAGGTGTGCAGTGATGCCCTTCGACTCTCACTGCCTATGACCACGATGTTTAGCACACCCCACATGTTTTTTTCTTCCCTCCCTGTAGGAAGTTTTTTTCCATGTCCATATGTATATATATGTTTTTATTTTGTGTTCTGTGCCCTGTTCCTACGAGAGAGAGACCGAGTTTCTTTTACTACCAGTATTGTCACGTCGGGACGACGCCCGGTAGGTGGCCGAGCGTATGTAGACAGCCTGTACTGTCTGCACAGACAGCCCATGCTGTCTGCCAGCTTAGTTCATATTTCGCGCCATGCTGGTGCTGCCACCTAGAGGCCTTGCCACTTCAGTATGCCCAGACTTGCCTCCGCCTCACTCACACAGCGGCCTAGCAGGAAGACACAAGTACTAGTAGCTCTCTTCGTGGGATGGCCTGCCCGGGGCCATGGGCACAACACAAGCCTGTGTACCCACCACTACTTAACAATAAAGTAAGAAGCCTCGAAGACGTATCATTAACACCCGCTTGCAGCACCTACCAAACAAGCCCGTTATAAGTGAGGCTCAAGTTAGAGTATGTAGGAAAGAGGGAAATTATTTCCCATAAAAGCAGGCCTTAGACAAGGATGTGTGATGTCACCGTGGTTGTTAATATATTTATAGAGGGGTTGTAAGAGAGTAAATGCAAGGGTCTTGGCAAGAGGCATGGAGTTAAAAGATAAAGGAATTCACACACAAAGTGGGAGTTGTCACCAGTTGTCTTTGCTGATGACACTGTGCTCTTGGGAGATTCTGAAGAGAAGTTGCAGAGATTGGTGGATGAATTTGGTAGGGTGTGCAAAAGAAGAAAATTAAAAGTGAATACAGGAAAGAGTAAGGTTATGAGGATACAAAAAGATTAGGTGATGAAAGATTGGAGGGAGAGGAGTATGGAGGAGGTGAATGTATTCAGATATTTGAGAGTGGACGTGTCAGCGGATCGGTCTATGAAAGATGAGGTGAATCATAGAATTGATGAGTGGAAAAGGGTGAGTGGTGCACTTAGGAGTCTGTGGAGACAAAGAACTTTGTCCTTGGAGGCAAAGAGGGGAATGTATGAGAGTATAGTTTTACCAACGCTCTTATATGGGTGTGAAGCATGGGTGATGAATGTTGCAGCAAGGAGAAGGCTGGAGGCAGTGGAGATGTCATGTCTGAGGGCAATGTGTGGTGTGAATATAATGCAGAGAATTCGTTAGTTTGGAAGTTAGGAGGAGGTGCGGGATTACCAAAACTGTTGCCCAGAGGGCTGAGGAAGGGTTGTTGAGGTGGTTCGGACATGTAGAGAGAATGGAGCGAAACAGAGTTACTTCAAGAGTGTATCAGTCTGTAGTGGAAGGAAGGCAGGGTAGGGGTCGGCCTAGGAAGGTTGGAGGGAGGGGGTAAAGGAGGTTTTGTGTGCGAGGGGCTTGGACTTCCAGCAGGCATGCGTGAGCGTGTTTGATAGGAGTGAATGGAGACAAATGGTTTTTAATACTTGACGTGCTGTTGGAGTGTGAGCAAAGTAACATTTATGAAGGGGTTCAGGGAAACCGGCAGGCCGGACTTGAGTCCTGGAGATGGGAAGTACAGTGCCTGCACTCTGAAGGAGGGGTGTGAATGTTGCAGTTTAAAAACTGTAGTGTAAAGCACCTTCTGGCAAGACAGTGATGGAGTGAATGATGGTGAAAGTTTTTCTTTTTCAGGCCACCCTGCCTTGGTGGGAATCGGCCAGTGTGATAATAAAAAAAAAAAAAAGGGGGGGGATTGTAAAAATTATAGAGGAATAAGTTTATTGAGTATACCAGGAAAAGCGTATGATAGGGTTATTATTAAAAGAATTAGAGGTAAGACAGAATGTAGGATTGCGGATGAGCAAGGAGGTTTCAGAGTGGGTAGGGGATGTGTAGATCAAGTGTTTACATTGAAGCATATATGTGAACAGTATTTAGATAAAGGTAGGGAAGTTTTTATTGCATTTATGGATTTAGAAAAGGCATATGATAGAGTGGATAGGGGAGCAATGTGGCAGATATTGCAAGTATATGAATAGGTGGTAAGTTACTAAATGCTGTAAAGAGTTTTTATAGGATAGTGAGGCTCAGGTTAGGGTGTGTAGAAGAGAGGGAGAATACTTCCAGTAAAAGTAGGTCTTAGACAGGGATTTTGTAATGTCACCATGGTTGTTTAATATATTTATAGATGGGGTTGTAAAAGAAGTAAATGCTAGGTGTTCGGGAGAGGGGTGGGATTAAATTATGGGAAATCAAATACAAAATGGGAATTGACACAGTTACTTTTTGCTGATGATACTGTGCTTATGGGAGATTCTAAAGAAAAATTGCAAAGGTTAGTGGATGAGTTTGGGAGTGTGTGCAAAGGTAGAAAGTTGAAAGTGAACATAGAAAAGAGTAAGGTGACAAGGGTATCAAATGATTTAGATAAAGAAAAATTGGATATCAAATTGGGGAGGAGGAGTATGGAAGAAGTGAATGTTTTCAGATACTTGGGAGTTGATGTGTCGGCGGATGGATTTATGAAGGATGAGGTTAATCATAGAATTGATGAAGGAAAAAAGGTGAGTGGTGCGTTGAGGTGGAGGTGGAGTCAAAAAACGTTATCTATGGAGGCAAAGAAGGGAATGTATGAAAGTATAGTAGTACCAACACTCTTATATGGGTGTGAAGCTTGGGTTGTGAATGCAGGAGCGAGGAGGTGGTAGGAGGCAGTGGAGATGTCCTGTCTAAGGGCAATGTGTGGTGTAAATATTATGCAGAAAATTCGGAGTGTGGAAATTCGGAGAAGGTGTGGAGTTAATAAAAGTATTAGTCAGAGGGCTGAAGAGGGGTTGTTGAGGTGGTTTGGTCATTTAGAGAGAATGGATCAAAGTAGAATAACATGGAGAGCATTTAAATCTGTAGGAGAAGGAAGGCGGGGTAGGGGCTGTCCTCAAAAGGTTGGAAGGAAGGGGTAAGGGAGGTTTTGTGGGCGAGGGGCTTGGACTTCCAGCAGGCGTGCATGAGCGTGTTCGATAGAAGTGAATAGAGATGAATGGTATTTGGGACCTGACGATCTGTTGGAGTGTGACAGGGTAATATTTAGTGAAGGGATTCAGGGAAACCGGTTATTTTTATATAGCCGGACTTGAATCCTGGAAATGAGAAGTACAATGCCTGCACTCTAAGGGGGAAGGGGGACATTAGCAGTTTGGAGGGATATGCTGTGTATCTTTATACGTATATGCTTCTAAACTGTTGTGTTCTGAGCACCTCTGCAAAAACAGTGATTATGTGTGAGTGAGGTGAAAGTGTTGAATGATGATGAAAGTATTTTCTTTTCGGGGATTTTCTTTCTTTTTGGGTCACCCTGCCTCGGTGGGAGACCGAAAAAAAAAAAATACAGTGGCCAAATATGTTTGCCCAATTTTCTTAATACTTCACCTCTTACCTTATCTTTAAAAATATGAGAGAGCTGTTCACTTCTAGACTGCCAGATCATCTGTTGTCTCTGTACAACTTCAGGATATCTGCAATAATTGGCATATCTAAGAAGCAGACAATAAAGGTTATAATGCACTACATAAATGAAAAGAACCATTTATAAGTTGGTATGAAATAGCAGAATCACTTAATGAATGGACTGGATACATTCATTCATAACCATTGAGTGCCTAATACAGTATTGCCACAGAACAAAATATTGAAACATTCAATAATTAACATTACCATTGTAGTATCTAAGTCGAATGCAACTATTTCTGATACAGTATTTACTTCTAAAACAAAATGATAATTCTTAAAAGAGAAGTCTCACTTCTTCATGAAGCTGATATCCGTAGGAAGAATAAATTCCCACACTGCTCGTGATCCCTGATATCGAGACACACCCAGCAGTATATCCTTCAAGTCATTGCCTGGAAGTCCTACCACATCACCAACCTCGGTACGCACAACATTCGTGTTTTTAGTGAAGAGGTATAACTGTAATGGAGTGATGCTTCGTTAGTTCATGTTATGTGGAAATACATGGGGAAGATGGGGAAGTGGAAAGAGAATTCTTCCTCCATAAGCTATGCGTGTTGTAATAGATGACTAAAATGCTGGGAGTAAGAGGGGATAGTAACTCCTTCTCCTGCATACATTACTAAACTTAAAAAGAGAAACTTTTCTTTTTCTTTTTAGGTCACCCTGCCTCAGTGAGAAAAAAAAAATGGTAAAGACAGATAGTAAAGGGTTTATTATACTTCTACCTATATTAAGGATTATGTGAATCAAGGATGAAAAAGTAGAGGACATAAGTGTGAAAATAAACAAACTTTGAGTTGGCACATTCAGTACTTTGTGAATAAGTAAGATAAAAATTATACAGAACACATGCACAACAAGTATTTATAGCATATAGTAGCAAGAAAATCAATGCTACCATAACTCAAGACATCCAGCATTATTACTGCAGTAGATGTATAGAGTACAACCTTTGTATCTGCAGAGTCAGTTTTTGCAGTTTCAGTTATTGTGGTTTACTGTGACCCAAAAATAACCTTTAATTTTCTTAATAATGGACCCAAAGCACAAAAGTAGTAGTGATGCTGTCAGTTCTTCAAAGCCCAAGAGAATCTGTGAAGTGCTTCCCTTCAGTGAAAAAGTGCTAATTCTCAACTAATTGTGCATAATTTGTCAATTAAACTTTATCATAAAGTTTAAATGATAAATGGTATGCCATACAGAAGTTGTTAGTATATAGACAAATGTGATATGTCACTATTATTTAGTATAGTAATAACAAAGTTTAATTTGCCTCTTGACTCCCAAGTCTCATTATTTGCTCTAAATAGACAAACAGCCCTGCACATATTAGACTGAAACTTATGATGATGCTTTGGTCCGAGTTGGAACATATTAGCTAGTCATTAACTAGTTAATGGTCCAAGCTGGACCAAAACACTCATATGTTTCACTCTCCTAAATGCAGGTTGTGTACTGCTCCAGTCACGGTATTGTGCCTTTTTCTTCTTGTTGCTCTAATTAGCCTGAGATGTGAATATAACTCATGTATGAAGCCAGACACAGATATGCACAAATTATTGACATTGGGACTAAAGTTAAATGTGTGAAGAGTCCCTATTCACATCGGCCTCTAGCAGCATGGTAAAGTCGAGGCCTTGGATAAATTAGCAATAAACAAAGAGAACAATGAATATAATTTTAGTTTCTCTAACAGAAATTAAAAACCCATTGTTAAAAAAGAAATAGCAAACAAGTTTGAAGAAATAAAATGGTACTACAAATGGTTGAATTAAACTTTGGTTTTATTCAAGGGCCTTTGTCAACAGAATAGGAAAGGAAATGTAAGCGATATAATCTGCCCTTACCCTAAGTTTACAATAGTTTAGTCCTAAACAAAGTTCATTCCATGTCAGGGTTATCGGCCTGTACTATAACGACTTCTCCCCCAGGGTTTTGACGTAATTATACGCATTTAAGGTATGGACTGATTACAAGACAAACTGGTTCTGCCTACTTTATGTACTCGAATGGGCTATGTGTAGTGTGCGCAGTAATAAAATGCCTAAATGTTCCTTGGCACCACAAGTTTGAAGAAAAAAAAAAGGTTTGGTGTAACTTGGTTTAAATAGCGAACTATTGACGGGATTCTGCAATAATGTTTCTATGGTTTACATATTTTCCTCAGGGCTTAATTTTATAGGGTTAAGACATATTACAGAAATTGAGGTTTTTTTGTTGTTCGCAAAAAGAAGTACCTTTAAATTGAAGGAAAGTAGCAGAAAGTTCGATTTATTGCCAAAGTTCAAAAGTACGCAAATCATGCAGCATCCATACACGTCAACTGAGGAATCTAATATTTTTTACAAGTGTTTTGCTGGTATTATTTATACCATTTCTACACTAATTAGTAGTCTGCATAACAGTAAATCTTCTATTTTTTGTGAGAATAAAAATTCAAAGAAATGTAAGAGGGGCGTGGGTATGTGACTAATGAACAGAGGAAATGTTATTTTTGTGTCAGGAATGTCTTTCTTGTTTATTCTGGACCCTATTTGGAAATTGGCATCTTTTGAAATTTGTGTGAAATTGGCAAAATTGCTAAATTCTGACCACTTTATTGGATAGTTGAAATCAGTAAATGGGTGGTTTCTTGTACTCATTCGATAGAAAAAACGGAGTTCTAGCAAAATAGTTATGATTTTTGTCGACTAGTACACTGGAATTGGCTGAAAATAGGGCTCAAAAATGGGCAAATTCGCTGATGCGTAAACATCGTCGAGACTGCTAACTTTGCGAGAGCATAATTCCATAAGTTTTCCATCAAATTTCATACTTTTGGTGTCATTATGATCGGAAAAAGATTCTCTATCTTTTCATAAGAAAAAATAATTTTTTTTTTTTTAAATTTTGGCGACCCTGAGAACAAGTCTCTGAGAGGGCCTGGCGACTCTCGGTGTTTATACACACCTCTCACTCAGGGTATACATCAAATCATGTTGTTGCATTATATGTATAAGAATATTATGGGAGAATGGAAAACTTTGAGAATGTTATGCTAGGAGACCAAGCAGCAACAGCGTGGTTGACCAGGCAAGCACCAGATGAGCCTGGCCCATGGCCAGGCTCAGAGAGTAGAGAAACTCTCGAAACTCTTCAAAGGTATGTAAAGGTAAGGTATTGGTCTCCTAGCAAAACATTGTCTCAATAAGGGTTTCTAATGTCTTTAACCCTTAATTAAACTGTCCAAACATAGATCTACGTTCACGTGCGTAGCACTCCAACCTTTATTTTCTCCATTTGAAAGCATGTAAAAAAAGTAGCTCTACGTTCGGAGTGCTATGCACGTCAACGTAGATCTACGTTTGGATAGTTTAAGGGTTAAATCAGTTCGTCAATTTCACAACCTCATTCCCAGTATTGTTATATACTGTATAGTGAACACATAAAAAATAAAATTTAATATATCAGTACTTCAGAATTCTTATATAAACATAAAAATTTGCACAAATTATTATTATTATTAATATACAGTATCATGCATAAAATGAATACTGTTTTGGTACAACTCGCTAAACACAGGATCACAGGCACGTGTTCGACTGCCAATATGCCCGACACACACCTATCACATCACATAAAAACTCTTCACAGAGGCTTAACTTTGCAAATCTGGAGGTCTGAGTGTATATAATACAGCCTCTCCTCACTTAGCGACGTACTCGTTTACCAACTACTCGGACTTACGACGGGCTCTCTGACCAGTATGCATATCTAAATAATTTATATTAGAGTTGGTTTCCTCTATTCTGTTTATTACAACATACAGTACACTACTGTATAAACATTTAATAATGTACTAAAAATGTTATAAATGGTGCAAAGTTGACATTAAAACAATATCAAAGATGGTTGACACAAACTCACTACCATTATAGTATGTTCCTCACTTAGCAACGAATTCATTTACTGACGCAGTCTTAGGAATGGAACTCTGTCGTTAAGTGAGGAGAGGCTGTATAAATATGTAAAGTTTTATACCTACCACAAAATCTCTACCACGCTGAATAAGTTCATTAGGAATGCCAGACTCTGACTTGCTATCCTTTGGATACAGTATATCTGATTTAACAACCCAATTGCCTTGCACAAGAACAGCAACTTGCTGCAGGACCTTGAGCACAGACAGCGCTGACTCTACACTACTCCCGTAGCCAAACACTCCAAGTAGTTCTCCAAATGAGGCAACACCAGCTGTAAAACAGACATGACATTAGCACATCTACTGTATAAACATAGCTCTCTTATAAAGGTATTGTAAAAGTACAACCAAAATTGATAATCATGTATTATGACAGCCTTTTTATATGCTGTTAAATTGTTTATGCAATTTTTAAATAAAAATATGAGAGCTTACTCTCTCTGATAAATAGAAAATATAATTAAAAGTTACACCTAAATATTACAGTCAACCCCTGCTTAACGACCTACAGTAACGAGGTACCAGACAAAAGGTCATTAAGCGATAAATACATTAAGTGAATTGCATTTTTCCCATTGACATTCATTATATAGCCTGAAAGGAGGACAAGGATAATATTCCACATCTAATTCCTATTAATTCTGGGAGGAGGTGATGAAATTCATATGTACAGGAGGGCCCTGCTTATACAGCAGGTTAGGTTCTGGGCAACTGCTGTAGCAAAACTGCTGTAAAGTGAAACAGCTTTTTTTCAATTTCCAATGCACATAACAGTCTGACAACATGTTTACATTATATACTAAGTGAGCAAGAGATAGGCCTAAAAAATGTATATACAGTATATACATTACTTATGCCATAAAGCGAAGAGCTGTAAAGCGGGGCCTGCCTGTACTGTGTTTACAAAAGATTACCTTCCCTGTCTCCCATTTCCTGTTTATTCTCTCTATAACATCCTTTCTTTCCCTCTCTCTCCAGCTGAAAGGTGAACTACTGCTAGTACTTTCCTCTAGTAATTTCTTTTCCTTGCATTACTAATTAAAGACAGCTGTAAATATTTTCAACATGCCAGCTATCACGCTGAACCAGGGTGATCCAAAACAAGAAGATACACATTATGGTCATTTAATATCACAGTCTTGCCCCCCTCCCCCCCAATAAAAAAAAACCCCTTTAAACCCCCCCCCCCCCCCAAAAAAAAATTAAATCTGGGTATCAAAGGAGTTAGAGAAAAGGAAAGGGGTAGCAGTAATTTTAAATGATCGTTAGGAAGGAGAAAAGAAATTGAATTGAAATTTCAAGAATTATGGGGATTAAAGTAAAGGTGGATGCGAAAGTGGGTCAAAAAACGGTATGCACCTGGAGAAGAGAGGAATGAAAGAGGAGAGAAGAGTTTTTGGGAGATGTTAATGAATGTATGGAGCCTTTGAACCAAGTGAGGAGTAATTGTGGTAGGGGACTTGAATGCAAAAAGTAGGAGAAACTTTTAGAGAGGTGTGGTAGGTAAGTTTGGGGTGCCAGGTGTAAATGATAATGGGAGCCCTTTGATTGAACTTTGTATAGAAGGGGTTTAGTTTGGGTTTAATACAAAATTTTAAGAAAAAGAGGATAAATAAGTATACACGATATGATGTAGGGCGAAATGACAGTAGTTTGTTGGATTATGTATTGGTAGAAAAAAGGGGACTGTTGAGTAGACTTCAGGATGTACATGTTTATAGAGGGGCCACAGATATATCAGATCACTTTCTAGTTGTAGCTACACTGAGAGTAAAAGGTAGATGGGATACAAGGAGAATAGAAGCATCAGGAAGAGAGAGGTGAAGGTTTATAAACTAAAAGAGGAGGCAGTTAGGTAAGATAAAACAGCTATTGGAGGATAGATGGGCTAATGAGAGCATAGGCAATGGGGTGGGAAGAGGTATGGGGTAGGTTTAAAAATGTAGTGTTAGAGTGTTCAGCAGAATTTTGTGGTTACAGGAAGTGGGTGCAGGAGGGAAGAGGAGCGATTGGTGGAATGATGATGTAAAGAGAGTAGTAAGGGAGAAAAAGTTAGCTTTATGAGAAGTTTTTACAAAGTAGAAGTGATGCAAGGGGGGAAGAGTATATGGGAGAAAAAGAGAGAATTTAAAGAGAGTGGTGAAAGCAATGTAAAAAGAGAGAAAATGAGAGAGTGGGGGGAATGTTATCAACAAATTTTGTTGAAAATAAGAAAAAGTTTTGGAGTGAGATTAACAAGTTAAGAAAGCCTAGAGAACAATGGATTTGTCAGTTAAAAATAGGAGAGGAGAGTTATTAAATGGAGAGTTAGAGGTTTTGGGGAAGAGGGAAGGAAATTTTGGGGAATTTGTTTAAATGTTGATGAAGATAGGGAAGCTGTGATTCGTGTATAGGGCAAGGAGGAATAACATCTTGTAGGAGTGGGGAAGAGCCAGTTGTGAGTGTGGGGGAAGTTCTTTGAGGCGTAGGTAAAATGAAAGGGGGTAAGGCAGCGGATTGATGGGATAAAGATAGAAATGTTAAAAGCAGGTGGGGATATAGTTTTGGAGGGGTTGGTGCAATTATTTAAAAAATGTATGGAAGAGGGTAAGGTTTCCTAGGGATTGGGAGAGAGCATGCATAGTTCCTTTGTATAAAGGCAAAGGGGATAAAAGAGAGTGCAAAAATTATAGGGGGATAAGTTTGTTGAGTGTACCTGGTAAAGTGTATGGTAGAGTTATAATTGAAAGAATTAAGAGTAAGACGGAGAATAGGATAGCAGATGAACAAGGAGGCTTTAGGAAAGGTAGGGGGTGTGTGGACCAGGTGTTTACAGTGAAACATATAAGTGAACAGTATTTAGATAAGGCTAAAGGGTCTTTGTGGCATTTATGGATTTGGAAAAGGCGTATGACAGGGTGGATAGGGGGGCAATGTGGCAGATGTTGCAAGTGTATGGTGTAGGAGGTAGGTTACTGAAAGCAGTGAAGAGTTTTTACGAGGATAGTGAGGCTCAAGTTAGAGTATGTAGGAAAGAGGGAAATTTTTTCCCAGTAAAAGTAGGCCTTAGACAAGGATGTGTGATGTCACCGTGGTTGTTTAATATATTTTATAGATGGGGTTGTAAGAGAAGTAAATGCGAGGGTCTTGGCAAGAGGCGTGGAGTTAAAAGATAAAGAATCACACACAAAGTGGGAGTTGTCACAGCTGCTCTTTGCTGATGACACTGTGCTCTTGGGAGATTCTGAAGAGAAGTTGCAGAGATTGGTGGATGAATTTGGTAGGGTGTGCAAAAGAAGAAAATTAAAGGTGAATACAGGAAAGAGTAAGGTTATGAGGATAACAAAAAGATTAGGTGATGAAAGATTGAATATCAGATTGGAGGGAGAGAGTATGGAGGAGGTGAACGTATTCAGATATTTGGGAGTGGACGTGTCAGCGGATGGGTCTATGAAAGATGAGGTGAATCATAGAATTGATGAGGGAAAAGAGTGAGTGGTGCACTTAGGAGTCTGTGGAGACAAAGAACTTTGTCCTTGGAGGCAAAGAGGGGAATGTATGAGAGTATAGTTTTACCAACGCTCTTATATGGGTGTGAAGCGTGGGTGATGAATGTTGCAGCGAGGAGAAGGCTGGAGGCAGTGGAGATGTCATGTCTGAGGGCAATGTGTGGTGTGAATATAATGCAGAGAATTCGTAGTTTGGAAGTTAGGAGGAGGTGCGGGATTACCAAAACTGTTGTCCAGAGGGCTGAGGAAGGGTTGTTGAGGTGGTTCGGACATGTAGAGAGAATGGAGCAAAAACAGAATGACTTCAAGAGTGTATCAGTCTGTAGTGGAAGGAAGGCGGGGTAGGGGTCGGCCTAGGAAGGGTTGGAGGGAGGGGGTAAAGGAGGTTTTGTGTGCGAGGGGCTTGGACTTCCAGCAGGCATGCGTGAGCGTGTTTGATAGGAGTGAATGGAGACAAATGGTTTTTAATACTTGACGTGCTGTTGGAGTGTGAGCAAAGTAACATTTATGAAGGGATTCAGGGAAACCGGCAGGCGGACTTGAGTCCTGGAGATGGGAAGTACAGTGCCTGCACTCTGAAGGAGGGGTGTTAATGTTGCAGTTTAAAAACTGTAGTGTAAAGCACCCTTCTGGCAAGACAGTGATGGAGTGAATGATGGTGAAAGTTTTTCTTTTTCGGGCCACCCTGCCTTGGTGGGAATCGGCCGGTGTGATAATAAAATAAAACATTCATTATATAGCCCGAAAGGAGGACAAGGATAATATTCCACATCTAATTCCTATTAATTCTGGGAGGAGGTGATGAAATTCATATGTACAGGAGGGCCCTGCTTATACAGCAGGTTAGGTTCTGGGCAACTGCTGTAGCAAAACTGCTGTAAAATGAAACAGCTTTTTTTCAATTTCCAATGCACATAACAGTCTGACAACATGTTTACATTATATACTAAGTGAGCAAGAGATAGGCCTAAAAAATGTATATACAGTATATACATTACTTATCTTAAAATATTTTTGTCCTTAGCTTATAGTGCATGGTAAATATAATTATTGTAGGAAGTTTGAATAAATGAAGAATAGGTATAATTGAAAACCAGTGCAGTAGTGAAATGCCATAAAGCGAAGAGCTGTAAAGCGGGGCCTGCCTGTACTGTGTTTACAAAAGATTACCTTCCCTGTCTCCCATTTCCTGTTTTATTCTCTCTATAACATCCTTTCTTTCCCTCTCTCTCCCAGCTGAAAGGTGAATTACTGCTAGTACTTTCCTCTAGTAATTTCTTTTCCTTGCATTACTAATTAAAGACAGCTGTAAATATTTTCAACATGCCAGCTATCGCCCGCTGAACCAGGGTGATCCAAACAAGAAGAAACACATTCATGGTCATTCACTTAATCACAGTCTTGCCAGAAGTGTGCTGACATCACAATTCAGCTGCTAACAAGGCAATAAAACAGCAAAAATCAGAGTCATTTTGAGCAAAAACTTTCACAGTGTCAGATGCAGTCTGGATTCCAGTATTTGAACACTTGCTACTGTCTCAACTTTGAACTGAATATAAATGTGAAACTTAACAATTTACTTCACACCACACTATACTGCGCAATGCCTGCACCCTGCAGGAGAGGTGGGGAAGTCAGAGAGTAATCAAACTGTGATGTCAGCACACTTCTGGAAAGATTGCAGTTGAATGAGACATGACAATGACTTTTCTTCTTTATGTCACCCAGCCTTGGCAAGAAGTAGCTATTGAAGTAAAATAATAATAATAATAATAATAATAATAATAATAATAATAATAATAATAATAATAATAGTAATAAGAATAATAAAATACCACACACTTTAATAGCCTGTACATTCTGAATTTATGATAGTAAATGGTGTAGTGAGTGTGAAGACAGTGTGGCAAGCTCCCATCACTACCACCATCACCATGTGCCTCCATGCTACTACTGTGCCTCCCACTGCATCTACATCTATTATTATTGTCTCAGTTTTACTTACCGAATGCATTTTTCAGTGGTATAAACTCATTTGGTGTCACTGTGGTGGATCTCAATTTGTTTGGTAAAATTTAGTCAATAAATGTGGATTTTTATATTATAACTGATTGATCAGTTATAATTGTATTCACAATTCACAATTACATACTTACTATTCAATTTTTTCTTTGGCTATCTTTTCGGATGGAATGGGAGATCTTATGGCTTTGAAGGCCATTTGAATTGTGATTTCTGCTCAATTCTGGCAAAACAGCCATTGAACAAGGTAATAATGAGTGTTTTTCCTTCTTTCAGTTAACGTACTTTCATAGGAAATGGTAGATGTGATAAAAAGCATGAGGGTAAGTTAAGTGACTTAGCACACATTCCAAAATTACAGTAAACACTAGATTTAAGCGACTAATTGTCCATTAAATCTGAATAATGAAAAATATTTTTCCATGATCGTAACATTAACGAATAATTTTAAGATTTAACAGAAGTGTTAAATTTGGAATTATCCATACAAATGGCAAGTTTTTATTTAAAGACAGATTCATTAAATCCAAAATGAATATTAGCATACCATTAGTCATGACAGTTTTGACACGATCGTGCAGGGGAAGAGAGAGCAGAGCCGAGCGCGATATAAGATTTGCTGGGAGTCCTGACGCTGTCGCCTGAACTTCCCTCGTAGGCGGCACTAACTGGCTTAAGTATTCCTGAGAGCCCAGGCTGAACTGATCTACATGCTCGTGTTCGTACATACAATACAGTTTCCGCATTTCAAAATCGCTGCGCTCGCTGCCATATCTGTAATGCAAAAATAGCAACAAGTAATACATGTATTTTACACTTAGATTAAAAACAAACTTTACCTAAATCTGTTCTTTTAAACTACTCGCTTTCACAGCATAAATACAGTGGACCCCCGGTTAACGATATTTTTTCATTCTAGAAGTATGTTCAGGTGCCAGTACTGACCGAATTTGTTCCCATAAGGAATATTGTGAAGTAGATTAGTCCATTTCAGACCCCCAAACATACACGTACAAACGCACTTACATAATTGGTCGCACTGGGAGGTGATCGTTATGCGGGGGTCCACTGTAATGCAAAATTTGTAGCCCTTAGACCAAGGTCTACAAATTTTATTGAAACTGTTATATACATTAGCAAAAAGTGATAATAACAAAGATATGAGCCCACAAAACTTTACTTAATCCCCCCAAAAAGCCATGTTATGGAAAAAGAGATTCAAGGATTATTTATACACTAAAGATTGTCATTGGACAATAACATAAATGAAATAATGACAAACCCATATGTTACACTGATAAAATTTCAAAACGGCTTTCAAATATAAGGATGCAAAAAAATGCTGAAAAAAAATCTTATCACAATGTACTTTATGCTAAGATTGGAACATGCAGTGGTAGTCAAGTACATTACAGAAGTTTCCCAACCTGTGATGATTCCATGATAAGCAAGTAAGTTTATTCAGGTATACACAAATACAGTTACATAGATTATCATACATAGCAGCATATGTATAGAGAACCTAGGATAACCCAAAAAAGTCAGTGACTTATTTCCATTGGGGTCCCTGATAATATTGCCACTTTAAAAAACAATTAATTACAAACATATACTGGCACTTTCAACCTATGGGACTATTCATAGCTGTGAAAATATCACTGCCAGTGAGACAGACAGTATCAATATTCAATGAAAATACCATACTACATATATACAGTACACTTTTCTTACTCTATTATATTTAATATTCTTTTTTTTTAACAAACTAGCCATCTCCCACTGAAGCAGGTCAACCAAGAAAGAAGAAACACATTCACCAGCATTAATTCCATGGCATCAAAAATAAAAATGCTAACAAAAATTTGTTGAAAGCTTTTTTTTTTTAATTTACAACAAGAGAAATTTATACTGCATTAATATATATGTATCTTCTCTCTAGGGTGCATTCTTTGAATTTAAATCAGTAGTGAATATTTCCATTGTTTTTCATCAGCATGCAAATATAAACAAATTTATTAAAGCCAATGAGTTGTGAAAATAGACTTAATTGCAAAGAGTAACTTTATTGAGAAGTTTTGTCCATGGACAGGTTTCCTCAGGCTGGAGAAGCCTGTCCACAGACTAAATGACTCAATAAAGTTCCTCCATGGAACTGTCCTTTTTCTCCACTAAACAAACACTGTGCTAACTTGTGGTAAGCCACTTCAATCCATGGCTCTTCCCGGATCTGCCGCAGGAGAAAACCGTAGCTCTTCTCTTTTGCTTTGCGACTCTTCACTGTTTCTGGTTTCTCAAACCGTACAGTCACTTTCTTGATTTTTTCATCGTCATCAGAATCTGTAAAGAAATTTTGAATAGCTTACATATACTATAGACAGCATTAACTAACTGTATGACAATACATGACAATGAAAAACTGAAGTTTAGAATAGGAGCACTCCATTTAGGAGAAGGGAGTGATCATGCAAATCATCACATGAAAATTTAGCTAAAGAATGAGGAAGATATGTTGAAAATAGTGTGAATAGCAGCAACTTGGTATGTAAGACACATGTGCAACAGCAAGGTATATTAAAAATACCCAATTGTTGTGCATGTGTCTATAGACTCAAGGAGAATGATCATATACAGCAGATGCACATCACACATACATAGTTACTGAAAGTGACTGGATGTCACATAAAAGTGAACTTATAAAAAGGAAACCCTCATAAAGAGAGGGGGAAACCTTTAGTAAACCCCTGATACATTGGACCAACAGGGGAAACTGTCTGAGTGCTTGTTTACCTTTCGTTCTATAAAAGTTTTTGAGGCCAGTGGCGCTTATGTATATATATACATCTAAACCATAAGGCCCTTAAATATACTGTGAGTTGTAAAATTTGGCCTAGCCATGAAAGAATTAGTCAATGTGGTGGGTGTGCACAATATAGAAAAATAATCCTGCCTAAGACAGTGCATGATCAAAGTTTATATCCACATGATACAAAATTTACACAGAAATGAGTGATATTTGACTGTGTTTGGGTTAGAGATTTTGAGGTATTTTCTTGGTTGGTTTTTCATGGTTTTATTGGCTGTTTTGCGATATCAACTGGTAACTGGTAAGAAATACTAGTGAAGCAGATAATTTTGGTCAGTTTCAGACCCAGACTGAAAATATTAAATTTTTGGTAATTTTCCTGAGAAAGTATAGAGGGCATGTGTTATATAGAAAAGGCATGGCGATGTGATGAATGAACAGAGGAAAGGTGACTTTAGTGGCTAAAATACCTACAGTGTTTATTTTGGACTTTTTAAATTAAGAATTAGTTGAATTTTGTGTAAAATTAGCCAAATTATCAAGGTAGATCTAATGGTTGCATGGACAGTTTCTTTTTCTCAATCAATAGAACAGAAGGTATACTAATGAAATAGCCTGAAATTGGATCGGTTTGAGAAAAACAATTGGCCTTATACAGGTCTCAAAGAGGGCAAAATCAGTTATGTAAAGTGCTCCTCAACTACATCAAATTTTATATTTTTGGTGTCATTACCTTTAGAAAATTATTCGCTTCCATTTCAGAACGTAATTTTTTTGAATTGCAACACTAATGGGACTTCAATTTTACCCATTATTTCAAAACCTCATTATATCAAGGTCCATTATATCGAGGATTAATGTACTTTTGAGAAAACATGCCAGTTTGAGGAGCTTACCATCAGCCTCGCCCGATGTGTCCTTGCGCTCTTGCCGTCCCCGTTTATCAGCTAGATCAAGGTACGAGAAAGACGGTCGAAGAGCTAGGACAGCTGCTATAGGTGTTAAGTGAAGGCTTGAATCACGGACAACACCCACTGCATAGCGACTAACATCACTTAGAGCTTTGGTAGATGTTAAAACCAATTTGTCCATAACACTGCTGTGAAAAGAAATTTCATAATACACTAAACAACTAAACGAAAGAGATGAGTAAAATTTGTGGACTCCATCCAGTGTGTGTTGCTGAAGTACTTGATGGATCAGGTGTTATATAAAGGAGCAAGACTGAAAACACATTACAATATTAGTGGATTGTCTTAATAATACACTAACACCACATTTGGTAACCAGTACGTTAACTAAAAATATGGCAAGATAATACAGCAGTCATCTCCATTAAAAAGCTCTTCTTCAGTGGAATTTTTTTGCAAATGTAGTTAACAAAGAATGTGCATAAATAACTGAACAGCACATAAAAAGGCCTTCACAGAATGTACAATTCAGTGATTGATGCACTTTTTCAACCACATTTCCAAAAAATTGCTGTATAGAGAGTAGCTTTGAAAGAGAGGACTGTAAATAAGAAGATTTGCAATACATAAAGTAGCTTCAAGAGAGAGATGATTGTAAATAAAAAGATAATTAGTGATATACAACATCAAAAGATATATTAGTACAGTACAGTATACAGAATGAGGTTGTTGCAAATGTATTTATGCTGTACATATAAACCTATCAATCAATTTTATTTCCCAAAAATCCAAGGTGTTATTAAAATTAAGGTATTATGTTTAAACAAACATCTTTTTGAAAAACCACTAGTTAAACAAAGCTTTTTGAGCAGGTTAGAACTAGGACATAAAACTATTCAATACTGCACTAGTACAGGTATGCAGATAAAAGCTATTAAAAGGAATAGTAATTTTACATGACAAGTCTGTATATGCATTTCTGTATACATAAGCCAAATAGTAATGATTAAAAATGAGTAGTAGTAATATAATATGAGTTTGTTTCTATCAGTAATGGAAGAGAATCTAACTAATCCATCAGACATCGTGAATATTGAAACAACCTGGAATATGTGAACAGAATCTCAATTTTTTATTTTGCACAAAGTAACAAATTTAGGGTAAGTGTTATCTGAGGGATGGCACTGAGAGCAAGGTATGACTGAATCTTCAAGAGCACGTATAACAGATAAAGAAAGCTGTGAAGTACTGTATAAGAGTGTAACCCTTACAGCCAGGCTTGAGTCCTAAAGGTGGGAGGTACAGTGCCTGCACTCTGAAGGAGGATTGGAGATGTTGCAGTTCAGAGAGTAATCTGAATTGTGATGTCAGCACATTTCTGGCAAGGCAGAGACTGAATGAATGATGGTGAAAGCATTTCCTTCTTTCAGTTATCCTGCCTTGCCAGAAGATGGCTATTTAGGTAAAAAAAAAAAAAAATCTACCCAATACAAACATTGCCTAATTCATGATATATAGATAACAAAAATGTGACTGACAGCAGAGATTTACTATAGTGAATGCTGTTTTTTCGTAAATGGTTAATGGTCCAAGTTGGAGTGATCCATCATCTTAAGTTTCTATCTCCTATGTGCAGGTTATTTATGTATACAACTCTACTTTCCACTCTTACCTCTTGTAGAAATTATCCTCTGAGTCCCGTTTGTCTCGGAATGCACCATCAACATTGAGGGCAATCTGCTCTCCTTTACTTTTGTCGTAAGTGGGTCCTCTGGTACGTAATCCCAACTCCATTTCAATCTGGCCACTCTGAGGCCTAATGGTTGTCTATTAAAGTAAAAAAAATAATAAATGGAATTCATCCTTTTCTTTTTTTAATTTAGCAATGTTTTCCATAATTACTCAACAAAGAAAGCCTAAATTAATTAACAATGTATCTTAATGGCATACTGCCGGTGATTATGAAGAAAAGATACGTTTGCAGAGCAAATGGGACAATCTTTTGATCTGTTAAGATCTTTATCAAGTCATACAGGGAAAACAAAGTGTGCATTTTATTTTATTTTTTTTTATAAACACATCGGCCGTCTCCCACCAAGGCAGGGTAGCCCGAAAAAAACAAAATTTCACCATCAATCACTCCATCACTGTCTTTCCAGAGGTGTGCTTACACTACAGTTATAAAACTGCAACATTAACCGTTAAACGGTCCAAACGTATATATACGTTCACTCGCGCAGTGCCCCTAATTTTTTGAGAGAAAAAAAAGTTTTTCTTTTTTTATAGGAAAAAAGAGCATGTGGTACCCAGGCGTCCCCAATTTTTTCATATGGCGCACACTGAGTGCATACACCCATTCTCTCATGTCTAGGCAACTCAGGCATATCGTGCCAATGTTGAATGAATGACAAAGGAAACATATATATATTATTTGGGGCGCTACGCGAGAGAACGCATATATTATACGTTTGAACCGTTTAAGGGTTAAAACCCCTCCTTCAGAGTGCAGGCACAGTACTTCCCATCTCCAGGACTCAAGTCCGGCCTGCCGGTTTCACTGAATCCCTTCATAAATGTTACCTTGCTCACACTCCAACAGCACGTCAAGTCCTAAAAACCATTTGGCTCCATTCGCTTCTATCTAACATGCTCACGCATGTTTGCTGGAAGTCCAAGCCCCTCTCACACAAAACCTCCTTTACCCATTCCCTCCAACCTTTCGAAGGCCAACCTCTATCGTGCTTTCCCTCCACTACAGATTTATACACTCTTGAAGTCGTTCTATTTTGTTCCAGCTTCTCTACATGTCCGAACCACCTCAACAACCCCTCCTCAACCCTGCACTCCTCAATCCTGCACTCCACTACCTCCTGCCTTCTCCTTGTTGCAACATTCACCACCCATGCTTCACATCCATTTAAGAGTGTTGGTACAACTATACTCTCATACATTCCCATCTTTGCTTCCATGGACAAAGTTCTTTGTCTCCACAGACTTGTAAGTGCACCATTCACCTTTTCCCCTCATCAATTCTATGATTCACCTCATCTTTCATAGACCCATCTGCTGACACATCCACTCCTCAATATCTGAATACATTCACCTCCTCCATACTCTCTCTCTCCAATCTGTACATACTTATATGTCTATACATATAATCTATGGAGGAGAGGAAGAGATGAGGTGAGAGAAACTGTTTCAGTCTAAGGAATTATGTGTGTATGTGTGTATGTGTGTGTGTGTGTGTGTGTGTGTGTGTGTGTGTGTGTGTGTGTGTGTGTGTGTACTCACCTAGTTGAGGTTGCAGGGGTCAATTCTGAGCTCCTGGCCCTGCCTCTTCGCTGATCACTACTAGGTCACTCTCCCTGAACCGTGAGCTTTATCATACCTCTGCTTAAAGCTATGTATGGATCCTGCCTCCACTACATCGCTTCCCAAACCATTCCACTTACTGACTACTCTGTGGCTGAAGAAATACTTCCTAACATCCCTGTGATTCATCTGTGTCCTCAACTTCCAACTGTGTCTCCTTGTTGCTGTGTCCAATCTCTGGAACATTCTGTCTTTGTCCACCTTGTCAATTCCTCTCAGTATTTTGTATGTCATTATCATGTCCCCCCTATCTCTCCTGTCCTCCAGTGTCGTCAGGTTGATTTCCCTTAACCTCTCCTCGTAGGACATACCTCTTAGCTCTGGGACTAGTCTTGTTGCAAACCTTTGCACTTTCTCTAGTTTCTTTACGTGCTTGGCTAGGTGTGGGTTCCAAACTGGTGCTGCATACTCCAATATGGGCCTAACGTACATGGTGTACAGGGTCCTGAACGATTCCTTATTAAGGTGTCGGACTGCTGTTCTGAGGTTTGCTAGGCGCCCCTATGCTGCAGCCGTTATTTGGTTGATGTGCACTTCAGGAAATGTGCCTGGTGTTATACTCACCCCAAGATCTTTTTCCTTGGGTGAGGTTTGTAGTCTCTGGCCCCCTAGATTGTACTCCGTCTGCGGTCTTCTTTGCCCTTCACCAATCTTCATGACTTTGCACTTGGTGGGATGGAACTCCAGGAGCCAATTGCTGGACCAGGTCTGCAGCCTGTCCAGATCCCTTTGTAGTTCTGCCTGGTCTTCAATTGAGTGAATTCTTCTCATCAACTTCACGTCATCTGCAAACAGGGACACCTCAGAGTCTATTCCTTCCGTCGTGTCGTTCACAAATACCAGAAACAGCACTGGTCCTAGGACTGACCCCTGTGGGACCCCGCTGGTCACAAGTGCCCACTCTTACACCTCGCCACGTACCATGACTCGCTGCTATCTTCCTGACAAGTATTCCCTGATCCATTGTAGTGCCTTCCCTGTTATCCCTGCTTGGTCCTCCAGTTTTTGCGCTAATCTCTTGTGTGGAACTGTGTCAAACGCCTTCTTGCAGTCCAAGAATATGCAATCTTGTGTAAGTGAGTGTGTAGGGAGGGAAGGGGGAGTATTGCAGGAAGTACAATGAACAATTAAGTTGAAATGTCTGGTTTGTTGTGGACATGCTTGTTCCATTCTCATTCAGCTTTACTGCCAAGAATGTGTCTTTAATATGGTGTGTGCTCGTGGTTTGATACTTAACCCTAGTGAGGTATTCACCAGGGTGAGTAGTGAAATAAAATTATGATAATCCATGCATTCACTTCAATGAATGTTACCTTACATATTCCTCAAAAATCAACAAAAATTCCAAGCACAACAATTATATTTTAATAATTGTTCTCACTCAATACAGCCTACCCAGGCATAAGAAAATAATACTATTTCTAGAGGTACAGTATAACTCTCTAGGTTTAAGTAGTATAAGCACAGGTTTCAGGAGAGCTGCAGGTATGCAAAGATACCTCTTACAATCTCTTTCTGGAAATTTTAGTCTTTGTGCTAGTAACTGTATGTATTCAGGTCATGAATGCCCATAGCAAGCTCAAGCTCTAGGCTTGAGGCCTAGCTCAGTGTTGGATATGGGTACAGCCCTGCTAGCAACGATGATACTGATGTATGGTTTCTATATATTCTATGTGATGTATTAGCAGAATCTGTTGAGTTTTTACTCTAAATTATTCTTAATTAACTGTCATGAATTGCTTGTTTCCACTCACTCCAATCTAACATGCTCACAAATGCCTGCTGGATGATCAAGCTCCTGTCAGTTAAAGCCTCCTTCACACCCTTCCTCAACCATTCCTTGGACATTCCCTACATCTATTTCATACCTGATTTACTGTATAAGCAGAAAAGTCCCATACACTGCTCACTCACATGTGAATTTATAATCATGAACAATCAAACATCGCTGACCTTGAGAATAGTAGATTCATCGTAGTTGTGAGAATGTGGTCTCACTGGATACTGCAAGACATACAGTTGATCAGCCAGGGTCTTTGCCAGGTATACAGGAATCTGTTAAGAGGAAGCCCATGTTACTTCTGATATTTACTAAATAAATGCAAAATAAATACCTTATCCATAGTATTTCAATAGGAAATATGGCGGAAGACACACTACCACACAGACAGTCCAAAAAATAACCACTAGCGTCTCATACACAATTGTAATTCTTTTTAGAAATATTGTATTGACTTTATACCTGACCAAAATGTTGTTCTTTGTCTAATTATAACTATTATTATTATTATTATAAAGCAAGTTTAAACCATTATGGGTCACAAGGCTTGCATTTACGCAATATGTATTATGATTATGGTAGAAATGGAATGGTGCCAAATTTTTTTGCTGATACTGATACTAAATTTTAGGATGATACTAATACCATCAAAATTAGCTAATGCATACCAATACTGGTCCCAATAATGATACTACCAAAACTGGCCAATACCCACCAATACTGGTGCCAATACTGATACCACCAATACTGGTGCCATTACTGATACTACCAAAACTGGCCAATATTTACCGATACTAATACCTAAATTTTGGCACACACCTAGATTATAGTATTTTACTTCATAAACATGCAATATATAAAATTTTAATTTTAATCATTTGGTGTTGACAAAAACACTTTGTAGAGAGTAAGCTACAATAACATAAGATTTACCTGGGAAATCAACAATTATTTTATTGATGGTCGAGTATTTTTAATATGTACTGTGGTACTAGTAGGTACTTAATTTAATGAACATACAATGGTGACTGTGTAGCTTTAACAAAGGAAAACATAAAAGTGGTAGTGTGTTAGGCTCACAACCGAAAGTTTCCGGGTCAAACCCTGGGTGAAACGAGACATGAGCAGGTCTCATAATGAATACTGTTGTTACTAGATATGAACAGGTATCTAGGAGTTAGCTGACTTGCAGGTTGCATAATGGGGAAGAACTGAAAAAAATATAACCAAGTGGAAATATGTAACACTTTGTGGCTTTCTTGGGTTATCCAGGGTTACTAACCCCCTTATATCCAGGATAAATAATAATCCATGGTTATAACTACAAATACAGTATACTATTTCTCTTCAGTGCGACTTACTTTCATCTAAGACAAAATAAGATTTGTTTGGATTTTTAACCCTGGGTTTGGAGGGTTAGCTACCCAGGATAACCCAAGAAAGTCAGTGCGTCATCGAGGACTGTCTGTCTTATTTCTATTACGGTCCTTCAACCTTGTCCCCAGGATGCCACCCGCACCAGTCGACTAACACCCAGGTATAACACTGACTTAAGAGAAAGTGCCTATTAATCAATCAGTCAGTCCGTTAAGTTGAAGGTTGATCTAACTTCAGCGTGACAATATCACTGCATGTTTATTATTTCATGGGAGGGAACACTAAACCTGTAGGGGTTATACATCACCAACGGTAAGGAGAGGCTGACCAGATGCAATCCAGGGGAAAGAGAGGGTAGCCCCAATTTCTTGGATCAAGAGTCCTTCACCAACCTCAAGGTACACAAGAAGGAACATTATATTCACAGGGAAGTGGTAAACCCGTATGGGTTTAGCGCTTGGTAGATAGGTAACAATGATATTTGATCCAGGAAAGTGAAGGGTAGCTCCAAGTCCTCGGATCACAGGAACTAAAGTACATTATTATTTATATTATTAATACATTCGTGGGGAGCGGTAAACCCGTAGGGATAACACATCGCCTAGTAAATAGGCGGTAGACCCGATCCACGGAAGTAAAGGGTAGCTCCAATACCTCGGATCAAAAAGGCCAAGGGATCTATTATCTCTTTTACACAAGTGAGGGAGCGCTAAACCCTCAGGGGAGAGGGGATGTTGTCAGAACAAGGCGTCTCACCTCAGCAACCAGAGGGTCAGCGTCAGCATCGTCAGCCTTCATACTGACACAATGTCTCACTCTCCTCCTCCTCCTCCTCTGCTTTACTGACTGTGGTTTTTTTTATCCTCCCGAAAACAGAATTAAACCAGCGAGAGAACAAGTCAAGCCAGTCAAACCATGACTATAAACCATGCCGCCCCGATGTTGTTGTTGTTGTTGTTGGATTTAAGGGCACCCACAACTTGAGGAGCCGTGGAGAGGAATGGCAGGAAATATAAAGACATTGAAAAATTAGGCAAATAAGTAAGTAAGTAAGCCTATTTTGGGTGCTGCTACACAACGATTGGATGATTACAATAGTTTTATATAGTAACATATGGGTAAACTGCATAGAATAGCTCAAAAATTAAAAGTTACAAATTTCCACTTGAAGACACAAACACAATATAATACAATCCTTTACCTACTTTATTGACTTTATTGACTGGAAACCTGATAAAGCCCACTTTGTTTAAGATACGTTATCAATAAAGGACCGTGCTGTACTGCACTTGTGTCTCTTTTATCATTTAGGAGCCGTGTGAACCCTACCGTCAGAGTTCTAGATCTGAGTTCCGGAATCGCTAGCGCCCTCGCACTGTTATTATTATTATTATTATAATCAAGGGGGAAGCGCTAAACCCGGAGGATTATACAGCGCCTGGGGGATGTGGAAGGCATTCAGGCTTAATTCGGGGAACTGGAGCACAGATCCAATTCCCTAAATCAAGAGCCCCTCACCAACATCAAGGAACCTTCCTTGAGGGGCCTCGCACTGTTACTGTACTTGGAATACAGGAACCAGCAGGGATGACTTGTAAGTAAGTTATTTAGGTACAGGTACACATAAATACAGTTACACAAGTTATCTTACATAAGTAACATATGTGTAAATAACCTTAAAAAGTCAGAGTGACTTATTTCCACCGGAGTCATTTGCTTATTTCCATTGTGATTCTTTACTTATTTCTCAGGTCAGGAAGAAGAATAAGATACACATGCAATACTTGGGTGTCCCTCATGTCTCATTCTTTTTTTTTTTGGCTGCTTTCCAACGCAATAAATAATACAAACCCCGGAACGGGTGGGATACGAACCCATGGCGAGTGAGTCGTATAATTTCTGAGGTCGTGCTAGGCTGTTCCACCTTGGTAGGCCTGACAATAAGGCTATCATAATGCTCATCTAAAAGTACTATTCATATTTATTGGGAAAGTGATGAATTAAGATATTTATTTGGAAATTTAATGTTTATTTGAAAAATACACAGCAATAAGAACATAAGAAAGAAGGAACACTGCAGCAGGCCTACTGGCCAATGCGAGGCTAGTCCAATTCGAATGATATGACAAATAATTGATTTAATATGAGATATGACTACCCATCATAAACATCTTTGAAAGGGTCTATAATTTCCTCACTAACAGAACACAGAGAGTAGTCGTCAACAGAGTAAAGTCCGAGGCAGCTACGGTGAAAAGCTCTGTTCCGCAAGGCACAGTACTTGCTCCCATCTTGTTCCTCATCCTCATATCCGACATAGACAAGGATGTCAGCCACAGCACCGTGTCTTCCTTTGCAGATGACACCCGAATCTGCATGACAGTGTCTTCCATTGCAGACACTGCAAGGCTCCAGGCGGACATCAACCAAATCTTTCAGTGGGCTGCAGAAAACAATATGAAGTTCAACGATGAGAAATTTCAATTACTCAGATATGGTAAACACGAGAAAATTAAATCTTCATCAGAGTACAAAACAAATTCTGGCCACAAAATAGAGCGAAACACCAACATCAAAGACCTGGGAGTGATCATGTCGGAGGATCTCACCTTCAAGGACCATAACATTGTATCAATCGCATCTGCTAGAAAAATGACAGGATGGATAATGAGAACCTTCAAAACTAGGGATGCCAAGCCCATGATGACACTCTTCAGGTCACTTGTTCTATCTAGGCTGGAATATTGCTGCACACTAACAGCACCTTTCAAGGCAGGTGAAATTGCTGACCTAGAAAATGTACAGAGGACCTTCACGGCGCGCATAACGGAGATAAAACACCTCAATTACTGGGAGCACTTGAGGTTCCTGAACCTGTATTCCCTGGAACGCAGGCGGGAGAGATACATGATTATATACATCTGGAAAATCCTAGAGGGACTAGTACCGAACTTGCACACGAAAATCATTCACAATGAAAGCAAAAGACTTGGCAGACGATGCAACATCCCCCCAATGAAAAGCAGGGGTGTCACTAGCACGTTAAGAGACCATACAATAAGTGTCAGGGGCCCAGACTGTTCAACTGCCTCCCAGCATACATAAGGGGGATTACCAACAGACCCCTGGCAGTCTTCAAGCTGGCACTGGACAAGCACCTAAAGTCGGTTCCTGACCAGCCGGGCTGTGGCTCGTACGTTGGTTTGCGTGCAGCCAGCAGCAACAGCCTGGTTGATCAGGCTCTGATCCACCAGGAGGCCTGGTCACAGACCGGGCCGCGGGGGCGTTGACCCCCGGAACTCTCTCCAGGTAAACTCCAGGTCCTAAGAAGCAAGATCACCACCCATCAGTTACACAACCCAGGGCAACATGGGTTTAGAGAAGGTCGTTCCTTCCTGTTCCAACTACTGGACCACTATGACAAGGTCCTGGATGAGCTAGAGGATAAACAAAATGAGGTTGTAGTATGCACAGAGTTAGCTAAAGCCTTTGATAAGTGCGACCATGGTGTAATAGTGCACAAAATTAGTGATAAAGGAATAACAGAAAAAGTTGATAGATGTATCTATAACTTACTAATTGAGCACAAAGAGTAATAGTAAACAGAGTAAAGTCTGAGGCAGCTACAGTGAAAAGCTCTGTTCCACAAGGCACAGTACTCGCTCCAATTTTGTTCCTCATCCTCATATCTGACACAGACAGAGATGTAAGCCACAGCACCGTGTCTTCCTTGGCAGATGACACCCGAATTTGGTAAGACACATATGCAACAGTCAGGTATCTTTATTCCGAAACGTTTCGCCTACACAGTAGGCTTCTTCAATCGAGTACAGAAAAGTTGGCAGAAGCAGTAGAGAAGTGAGGACGATGTTATCAGTCCATCACCCTTGAAGACGTAGTTTTGAGGTGGTCAGTCCCTCAGTCTGGAGAAGAGTATTGTTCTATAGTCTGAAACAATATCACTAACACTCTCATTAACATTGTTTCTGGCTGAGGGACTGACCACCTCAAAACTACATCTTCAAGGGTGGTGGACTGATAACATCGTCTTCACTTCTCTACTGCTTCTGCCAACTTTTCTGTACCCAACTAAAGAAGCTGACTGACCACCTCACCTCACCACTACTATGTATTCGAAGCTCGGGACCACATGATCACTGGCCCCGAGGGGTCTTTCATATGTGATGTCCTGAATATCTGCACTACTCAAGATGAATACTAGGTCCAGTCTTGCTGGTTCATCCTCTCCTCTCTCTCTGGTAGTGTCCCTTACGTGTTGGTACATGATATTTTCCAGTACCACCTCCATCATCTTAGCCCTCCACTTTCTGGGCCCCCATGTGGCTCCAGGTTCTCCCAGTCGATTTCCTTGTGACTGAAGTCACCCACAACCAGCAGCTTTGCCCTGCTCACATGAGCCCTTCTGGCCACTTCAGCCAATTGCTCTGTTACTCTCATCATACTCTTGCTTTGGCCTCCTGCTGGTCTATGGTGGGTTATACATCACTGCAATTACCACCTTGGGACCTCCAGACTGAAGTGTTCCTATTATATAGTCTCTTGCATCTCCTCTGTCTCCTCTGTCCAGCTCATCAAATCCCATTGGTTTTTGATGAGCAGTGCCACTCCTCCACCCCCTCTGTTCCCTCTGTCTTTCCTCGGGATCTGATATACGGTTGGAAAGGACCCCAATGGAAATAAGTCACTCTGATTTTATTGGGTTATCCTAGGTTCTCTACACATATGCTGCTATGTATGATAATTCTATGTAACTGTATTTGTGTATACCTGAATAAACTTACTTACTTACTTACTTATTATCTGTTATCATTCCTGTGAGCTTGGTTTCTGTGATGTCTAGTGATGCCTCTTTGACTCTTTCGTGCCACTCCTTCCACTTACTCGTTATTCCATCAACGTTGGTGTACCATACCTTCAGTTTTCTCTCCAACATTGAGTTCTGGGGGGTCTGTGGGGTTGGGGGACCTGGCAGTGTGCTGTGGGATTCTACAGCGTAGTGTGGGGTGGGAGATGTAGGTGTGGATTGTGGATTGTGTTGGGACAACGTGTTTGGTAGTGGGGTTCTGGGAGTGGTTCTGTGTGTGCTTGTGCTTGTTGCTCTGCCCTGCTCTGGTTGTCCTCTGCTGACTCTGTCCTGTGTGCGTGTACTCACCTAACTGTACTCACCTAATTGTGGTTGCAGGGGTCGAGATTCAACTCCTGGCCCAGCCTCTTCACTGACCGCTACTGAGTCCTCCCTCTCCCTGCTCCATGAGCTTTATCATACCTCGTCTTAAAACTATGTACGGGTCCTGCCTCCACTACATCACTTGCCAGACTATTCCACTTCCTAACAACTATGTGACTGAAGAAATACTTCCTAACATCCCTTTGACTCATCTGAGTCTTCAACTTCCAATTTTGACCCCTTGTTTCTGTGTCCCATCTCTGGAACATCCTCTCTCTGCCCACCTTATCAATTCAACGCAGTATTTTGTGTGTCTTTATCATGTCACCCCTAACTCTCCTGTCCTCCAGTGTCGTCAGACAGATTTCCCTTAACCTTTCTTCGCAGGACATTTCCCTTAGCTCTGGAACCAGCGTTGTTGCAAACCTTTGCACTTTCTCTAATTTCATAAGTGTGTGTGTGTGTGTGTGTGTGTGTGTGTATTCACCTAGTTGTACTCATCTAGTTGAGGTTGCAGGGGTCGAATCCTAGGTCCTGGCCCCGCCTCTTCGCTGGTCGCTACAAGGTCACTCTCTCTGAACCGTGAGCTTTATCATACCTCTGCTTAAAGCTATGTATGGATCCTGCCTCCACTACATCGCTTCCCAAACTGTTCCACTTCCTGACTACTCTGTGACTGAAGAAATACTTCCTAACATCCCTGTGATTCATCTGTGTCTTCAACTTCCAACTGTGTCCCCTAGTTGCTGTGTCCCATCTCTGGAACATCCTGTCTTTGTCCACCTTGT